TCAGAGGGTGATTCTTTATAGTCTTTTATGAAAAAGAGAAGAGAAAACGTTTGTCCAAAAATGTGTCAATTTCAAAAAAGGGCGTTTATTTCTTTTTGTTTTTATGTTTTTCTTTTAATTTTAAACTCTCAGGCTGTCTATAGGAAAACATGCTTTAGTGTATACTTAAAATTAATCACCTCACCAGGGGCGTGCGTATAGGCAATAGTAGGTATTTCATTATTTAAAAAAAACAGTACGCACGGCACTGATATTTTCTGATTATGTTTTGTTATTCTCGTTCACTGGCTGATAAAAAAATTTCTTCATACGTAGTTTAATTCTGGAAAAAATGCTAGTTTATTAAAAATAATAATATAATGTAAGGTCAGTAAATAATATAGCTTCAAATTAAAAAATACTAAGACATGTCAAATAATGACCAAGTATTAAAAAAATACTATAAAATTCAAAATATGCATTGATGTGCAAACTATTTTTTTAATTATTGTTCCCACGTTCGCTTCTGGTTTTTGGACATTATTATGTTAGTATAAACTTTTTTCACAAAATGATTTGAAGAACCACCCTCTGAAATATTTTGGATTACTTAAGTAACACAGCGCTGGAAAATCCACATGGTCCATCTGCCTTTACATGAAAGCGACAAAGTAAAGTAAAGAAATCCGTGCGATAGACAAGGATACCTATAGTGAAGACGACTTCATAAGTATTTGTTATTCACAAAAAGAAACGGCTATACAATTTTTTTTTACTTTTTGAGATAAGTACTACAAAATATACAGGTTCGAAAAGTCCCCATGGTACATCGGCTGTTACGTGAGAGCAATAAAGTAAGTCATAGAAATCCGTGCCTTAGACAAGGATGGTTACATTGAAGACGATTCATAATCTGAATAGTCAGTCCCACTTCTAACCCGAAACGGGCGGTGACTATTCAGATTATGAAACGTCTTCAATGTAACCATCCTTGTCTATCGCACGGATTTCTATGACTTACTTTAGGTATCGCTTTCACGTAACGGCCGATGTACCATGGGGATTTTCCGAACCTGTATATTTTGTAGTACTTATCTCAAAGTAAAAAAAAAATTGTATAACCGTTTCTTTTTGTGAATAACAAATACTTATGGAGTCGTTAGAAAATAACTTTTTCAATCTTTATTATTATCTAATTTTATACATTATTGGTCCTTGTCACATTCAAACTACTCCCCTCTCCTATTTACACACTTTTCGCAGGTGTGTCCCATTTCGCGAGGCAGTCCTGGATTTTTCTGGTCCATTTGAAATGCTCTTTCAAGTCTGTGACGAATTTACTTTGATGTCATTAGTAGTCCGAAAACGGTTTTTTCGGCACTGATTTTAATTTTGGAAATAATAATAAAAAATCGCATGAAGCCAGGTCTGGTATATAAGGAGGGTGAGGGAGGACAGTAATCTGATTTTTGGCACAAAACTGACAAATTGACAGAACTAAGTGCAAGAACCATGAGTTTTCTCGCTACAACTCTTATCTCTTTTTGCGGATTTTTTCACGTAACCATTGTAAAACGCCTTGGTTCACTGTTTCATTTTGAGGTAAGAATTCAAAATGCACAATTCCATTAACGTCGAAAAAAACTGGCACTGGATCGAGAGTGGCGTGCTTTCTTGGGGCGTGAAAATCTTTTGCCAGTCTATTGTGATGATTGAACTTTTGTCTCAATGTGGTAGCCGTAAACCCCAGCTCTCATCTCCCGTTATGATCCTTTGAATGAATGTTTCATCGTCATTGGATTGTCCAAGGAGTTGCCAACAAACGTTCACGCGATATTCTTTCTGTTGTGCGGTCATCAAACGAGGAACACATTTTACTGCAGGTCCAATTTTTCAGTCAAAATTTCATGACATGACCCTATTGAGATGCTCACCTCTTCTGCAATTTGCATGAACCAGATCTTTGACTTTCTGAAAGTGGAAGTCATCAGTTGAAGTCGAAAGTCTTCCTGATCGAGGATCATTTTAAATTGACTGACGATCACTTTCAAGTCGTAAAAACCATTCGTAACATTGCGTACGACTCAGAACATCATGTCCGTAACCTTGTTCAAAAGTTGAAACGTTCCGTGAAAGTTCCCAGTTACATGCAAAATTTTACGTTGCATCGTTGCTCCAGAAAATCGCACATTCGTCACTAACACTTAAACACATTACACTCGAATAACAATATAACGAAAACTAAAATGAGTTATCAACAATCCAAGAGCATGTGATTACATAGTAATCGCAACGCAGTGTTGCTAACAACATATCACTAAGTATTAGCGCAAAATTAAAAAAGTTCGGTTATTTTCTGAACAGACCTCGTATAAAGCCCAGAACGCCCTCTTTTTAACTAGTCCAGCTATTGTAAAAATAAGTATCCTTCTTGATTCTACGTGAAAATGTTTATTTATTGTATATATAAAAAAATATATATCTACGAGCTCTGAAACTAAAAAATATATTGAAAATCTATCACTTGAAGAGTGACAATGTTCGAGAAAACCGCAACTTTGTAACTAAAATAATAAGCTAGCGTGATATTGAAAATGGGATGCACGGTGTGTTGCATTATGTGTATTCCAACGAAAACTTGACTCCCCTGTAACTTTGTTAGCAGTGAGTAAAAAATCACCAAGACAGATTAATTTTTATTTTGAGAGGAATGCATTTTAACAAGTGTGATTCAGATTCATTCCCCACCCACGCATAAAAAATTTTGGCGACAAATGCACGTAGTTTTAACACTATACTGAGGATTTTTAAAATGAATGTAAACCGAAAAGTGAGGCCTATTAAGCATTGCAATTTCTTACTTATATGTGGGGAACATTGGAATACTGAGTATACTGTGAAAGTGCGTGACCAAATGAGACCTGCTGAATGATGCAGTTTGTTTTGAAAAATCTATCTAATATTTGTACAAGAACAAAAGTTGTAGGAAATTTTTAAATTTTTTCTAATAGTAACGGGATATAAGATCAAAATAATATTTTATGAGTATAATACGCTAGAGTTAACTGGTTAAAATAAGATAGAAAAAAGTAGATGAGGAAATGTTCGTCAACGGTTGCTCTTTTCGAGAAACGAGACGTTAAAATGACCGGGCGTCACTTTCACTAAAAACCCTGTGATATCGACGCCACTGGGTATTTCACAAGTTCGATCATTGCTTGTAACTCCTAGTGTTGGTTCCAAGGAAAAAAGAATCATTTTCGATTTATTGGTTTTTTTAACTTACCATACCAAGTACTTCGATAAACCTAATGTAACTAGAATTAATTGTTTCGCAAAAACGTTAATAGGATACCCATTTCAATGATTTTTTTGTTCTCGAAAACAAAGAGTTGCAGTATATTCTTTCATATGACTTTTTCTTTTTTATTTGACCACCCTAATTCAAATTTTAAGTTTTTCAGAATAATCCTAAAACGCCTTAAATAATTGTAGTCACTATTCTCCCTAAATGCCAAAAATATGTAGGGTATTGTAATAAAAAAGCTGCAACCTATATTATATTTTGCTCAGCACAATGGTCTCTGACTATAGTCATTATAGAATTTTTGTTTCATAAAGATTAGTATAATTAGTGCAAAGGCCGAATCGAGTCAGAAATAATTGGATATTGTTTTCTCAAATGTCCTGCAACTTTTTCAAAATAAACAAATCAAAAAATTTTTGAAATTGTTTTGAAATTTTTTGAAATTTTTTTGCTTCTTAAATTTTCGATATCTAATGCAAAATTGTGAGAAAAGTCGAGGACAATTTTTCTTTTTCATTTTTATAATTACCTTGGCCTTTGGCCTTTAATTCTTTCCAAAACTTTCATCATTTGGAACAGAAAAACGGTTCCATGAATCAACTTGTCAATTTTCAGTTATTGTGGGTACGTTGAGCGGAAAAAATTTTCTTATCATTAGTCTTTTCACCAATATTTGTAAATTAACAGTAGATAATCTTAAAAACCGTAAAAAGTCATTTTTTGCACTTTCCTCAAATTAATGTCAAGGATAAAAAATATTTTAGCATGTAGTTACTTGCAGAGTATTTATTTAAGTTTTCAAAACCTTTCTTGAATTTACTGTGCAATAATTTGTTGTTGAGATATCGATAATGATTTTCCATTCAATGTGGACCATTCAAAAAGCAAATTGAAGATGAATAAAGAACCTAACTAACCTGCATTGACTGAGTTCCAAAGAAAAAGAAATTTTGGACAATTTTTTTGCTCGATAACCGTAGCTCGAAAAGATTTTTTGTCAAAAGACTAAAGACTCAAAGCTTCAAAATTTTTATCAGACACACAGTTTTTAATAATGAAAACCTGGATTTATGAAATGAACACCTCATATAAGCACAACACGAGTGTTTTTATGCGAATACAGTAATATGCATATGTTGGGGTATCTCTTGCTTTAATTGACAGAAAGATTTATCCTCATATTTACAAGACTCTTTTCGTATGTATGAAAGGCGTACCATTTAAATCGTGTTTTTTAATAACAGGGAACAAAATGATATTTAAAAACTGTATTTTCTGAAAACCTGGTGGTGAATTTGTGTAATACCACTTAATAGTTTCACTGTTCCGTGTACAGGTTTATTCACATAACTTTGTACACTTTATCTCCTTTGCTTTTGTATCACATACTAAATATTCTTTGATATTTTTATATTTGCTTCCATTTTAAGTAGATTAATTCAGTGTGGTATATCTAAAGACGATCCACGAGAGGAACATTAAACCCCAACAACATTTCGTTTCCTTTTTACTATATTTGCACACGACAAAATTTGCCCAAAGTTTTTAAATTGCATTTCTTAATAATAAAAAATAATGTCACTTTTTCGAATTAATTTAGTTAAGGAGAGGTTCACATTAAATGTTTATATGCATGTCTTTAGTTTATATCGGCAGTCGAATATTTAATTGTTCACAGTTATGTGGGGATCATCCCCATCTCTGTTTGCTTCAGGTTCGTTGGGTTCTATGGGAGTAACTGTACCTTGTGGAACAGGCACCAATCCGCTGGAATGGACTGGGCAAGTCACTGTACGCAAAAAACGCAAGCCATATTCAAAATTTCAGACCCTGGAATTAGAAAAAGAATTTCTTTTTAATGCGTATGTCTCCAAACAAAAAAGATGGGAACTAGCGCGAAATTTGAACTTGACTGAAAGACAAGTTAAAATTTGGTTCCAAAATCGAAGAATGAAAAATAAAAAAAATTCTCAGCGGCAGGCACAGCAGCAAAATAATAACAATTCTGTAACAAATAATCAAAATCACCATGCGTCACACCATCATGCAAGCCACCATGTACATACGCCGCATCATGTTGTGAATCACCATGTTTCTGCCAATGGGACGTTAAAACATCACCAGTGACCTATGGCATTTTCTGGGGTTGTATTGGGTCATCACCATCATGGGTTGACTACTTAAACACCCTATTTAGTTGTATTTGTTTATTAAGGACTTAGTTGAATTTGGGTGTCACAGGACTGTAAACAACCCTGGAGAACATTCTTTGCAGTGCCAAAGAGTTATATTAGATTTGTTATATATGTGAATTTGCGGAAAGACTTTTCGTTTTTTATTTGGTATTTAGGGCTTGTGCAAATTGTAAATGGTGCGAAGCACGAGAATTATGTCTGCCTGTTAAGGGGTAGTTTTCTCTTTGTATTATTATACGTGATGAAAAATATTATAATAAAGCATGTAAGACTTATATTGTACATACGTCGACTGTCATTTGTCACTAGATTGTAATTCGTTGGTATGTTATAATATAATCAATGTTGCCTGTAGTTCAATGTATAGTAAATTATTGCAGGTATGTAATACTAAAATATTAGCCATATTTTCCCTTTGTTAATTAATTTTTTACCTTCCAATTGATGTACATAAAGAATACATTTAGGTACCTGTGTATCTGTGGCTTGTTGTATACGGTTAATGCGAAATTTTATTTTTTTGTTAACAATTTCCTACGTTGAAATATTGTATCTATCGCTTGATGTATTGTCACTATTGTAATATACTTGAACGACTTCTCTAGAAATCCGAATTTTATTAAAATAATATATAAACATGTACTAATATCCAATCTGTTTAGTAGGTTTTTTGTCAGGTGTCAGATGTATCAATTTAGGAGCCCTAATTTTGGTTTCACAATCAGTTTTAGGTAAAAATGTGTATATATCGACTTTGAAAAAAAAACTGTTAATTCTGTTAGGAAAAATGCATACTTTTAACTTTTATTGATTGTTTTAGATTATTAATTAAATTATTCGATTTTATAAATTCTTTAGTCAACGCTAATTTCAATTTTAAATGATCTCTAGTTGGCCAATTGATTAAGTTACATAGTTAACTACTTAATTTTATTATGATTTTCAAAATGAGTTTTTACTATTTATTTATTATTATCGACTATAATGTTTGTGGTTAGAATTAGAATTTTATGTAACTTTCAAAATAATTTTGTACCTACATATTTTATTATATATTTGTAATTTACTTGTTGTGTTCAAAATACATATTGTTGTGTTTATGTATGTATATGTATACAGATAAATATTATTAAGTATTCTGAATATGTGTTTTATAAACATCCAGTTCGAACTTTATTTATTAATGTTTACAAATTGAATAAACTTTGGTTAAGTATTTAAGATAATGTACAGGTAAGTAAAACTGATGTACATAATTTTATCTTGCTTATGTAAATATAAAATCTTAAAAAATGCAATTCAAAATTATTTATTCGTCAGTCCTGACCCCTAGTACTTACTCAATTAACATTTACGGTACGTATTTTTTTAGCACTTGGTATATACAAATAGTTTTCTATTTGTTGATGTTTTGACACACATATGGGGCATTTCATGTCAAATCAATGAGGTCGTGACCCGACTACTTTTAATTTTCCTGATTTTTTTTTTGGTATTATTTTTTAGTACCCATTTATAGTAGCTTTCATAAAGTAAGTTTTTGTTGAAATGATCATTTGAATATTTTGGGTACAAAATTTTCAAATACCTGCAACTTGGCAAAAACTGAAGATATATTTTTTTTCCATTTTGTTCGTTTTGAGATGTTTATAAAAAAATATAAAAATACCTAATACATTTCTAGTTTTTTAAACTTTTTTTAAATTTTTAAACCAAAAAATTTGTCTTTCAATATACAAATTCATAAGACAGGTTCTAGAGTGGGATTTTTTTATTCTATTTTTTTAAGAATTTTTTTGTGTAGGTACTTATTTTAATTTTTTACAGATGGAAGCTATTAAACCAAATTTTAATTAATTAATTCGCGGTGATTAATTAATAAAAAATTCCATATTTTAAAATTACTTCTACTAATATTGCCACTATTAAATATCTAAATTATTATTAACTAAATACATATTCCAATTTTTTTTCAATATTAATAAGTTTGTTTTGCATAATGCCATAAAACTTATATTTTTGACCATTTGTATTTAGCAAAAATAATACAGATTACGTGAACGGCGAAAGAAAAAAAAAATCAATTTCTAGAACACTTGACGGATTTTATTTTAAAAATATTTGAATTTTAGTAAAAAAATAGAGGAACAAAGATCCCGTTCTAAAACCTTTCTTATAAATTTGCATATTGAAAGACGATTTTTTTGAGAATTTTTTATAGAGAAAAACTTTCAAAAAGCACTTTTTTGGTTTAAGAATTAAAAAAAACTCAAAAAATCTAAAAATGTATTATTTTTATATTTTTTTATATAAAACTACTCGAATCGAGCAAAATGAAAAAAAGTTTATATCTTTAGTTTTTGCCGGGTTATTTGAAAATTTTCTACCAAAAATATTCAAACGCTTATAACTTGAAGGGTTGAAAAAAAATTTGAAAAAATTAATAAAAGCTACTCTAAAGGGATAGTAGGTAATCAAAATATAACCAAAATATCAGAAAAATTAAAAATGGTCTGGTCACGATCTTAGCGATTTGGCATGGAATGCCCCATATATTATTGCACTGAATAATGAGGACAATTCTGCACAAAAGCTTTTTATCTTTTTATAGAAATTTAAATTTCATTTAATTTAAACATGTAGGTTTACGGAATATGGATATACTTTGCGATATACTTCCATGTTTTATGACTATTCTCAAGACATGCAAGAAAACAAGGGTAATATATTTTTTTCTTTTCATTGTTGACAATAACTGCTCTTTCAAAGACAAATTGAAACAAAATTTTTTATCTATACTCGAGAACTATTGAAGACATGCGTTTCAAGATTCGAAGAGTGACGTCTACGAGTTAATACCAATTTTCACATAGAGTGCCGTACTCAGACTAGGCTCTACGGTGTCGTTCAATACGAGCGTCCATTGACTGATTACAAACTTAGAAGCCAATCGTATTGACCTACACCATAGGAACACAGTCTATGAAAAACAAAAAAACAATAAAAAGTAGAACCTACTCTAGCTGACCCGACAGATATTGTCCTGTCCAATATTACGCCCTGTATAATAGAATTTTAAAATAAAGTAGGTAAATAAATACGCCAGATCTAATCTAATCTTTAAGATATTTCTCTATTTGAACAAGACAAAATGAATTCAAAGTAAAAAATTATTGCTATAATATATCTATCTACCCGATTTGAGTCAAAGTTGACAATTAAATTTCTATTAAATTTAAATAAATATCTCAGCAATTAAGTCATGCTACTGAAAGTAGTTTCTAAAAACATTCTTTTCCGCATTAGTGAGTTAGGTTCTCTTTTTAGTAGTTGACTCGCAAATGATTAAAGATACAAAATTAGTTCAATAAAATTGAGGATACCTTGATTTTAAGATTTTAATTCTATTTCGATTTTATTGTAATATTTTCAGTTTCACTTACTTTTTTCCTGGTTGAGATATTACATTTTGATACTACGTTTATGTGATTTTCAGTTTAACCGATATTTTTAAATCATCAAATACAGGGTGTAACAACGACTTTGCGACAAAATAAACAAAATAGCAAGATTAACAATTGTTCCTAAAACGATTCCTAAATGTGCAAGGTCATAATACTTTTTTTTTGACATTAAAGATAATTTTCTATTTCAGATTTGATTAGACCATTTCCAAATAAAACTTATATTTCTTGAATTTTTTTGTAGTGAAGAAATGTTAAAAATCCAAGAATCATGACAAAATTTATTTGAATGAAAAGCAGTCAGACTAAGCTTTCCGTAATAAAATTATTACCCCTAACTGGTGAGAAATTGAGCAAGATGAGAGCCTAACAAGTTTTTTAATAATTACACTTAAACAGGCATTATACGAAAAAAATCTCAAGAGGCAAAAGTTTTGAAAGGAAATGCTCCTTTAAATCTGAAAATGTTAAAAATCGAATAACTTTTTTTTGATAAGTTAAAACATGAAGTTATCTGGGAGAAACTGGATTATATCAACAACTATAAGTCACGTCCTACGTTGTAAGGATCGCAGAACCTTTAGGAATTGTTTTACGAGAAAATGGTACCTAGATACTCCTGTTTTACGTTTATTTTGATCAACGTAATCGGTCTCGAGAGTTTATCTCAACGTGCTGATACACAATACTATCTATAGCTGGAATCAAACCAGTATGAAGTGAATTCATAATAAAAACATTAAAAAGGGTGTACCAATTAAAACTTTCCTACTGGGAAATATCGGAATTAAAAAAAAACAAAACCTGAGACACGCCGAATTTCTTTTCAAGGGAGACACATGCTGGCGTAAGTTTTGGTGTTTTGGAAACTATCCTTTAAACAGAGGCGTAAAATACCCTTAAACTCTAAATGACACCCTATGTTAAGGGACATCTCATTTTAAAACATTTTCAATTCTGCTCACGACGAAATAACACTTTTAAAATTTTGGTTTGGATATGACAATAAGATTATCACTTCAAGAATAGGACAAAATATCAATGAATGAAAGAATATTATTTTATTAAGTGTTCAAATGGGTTTCTCTCCGCTCCCATACAATAATACATAAAAGCTTTGATCCACTTCCGGACGAACATATGGAAACATTTTGGACGTTATTCTTCAACAATTTCTCGATAAAAAAAATTGTTTTAATTTTTCGTTTATCTGTCAATACAAAAACTTCATCTTCTATCGTTCAACTTTTTTACCTGTTTTACTTTAAACGAGACACTATTGTCTCGTCTTGTCTTGTTGAGACAATATCCCGTAAAATCATCACAAAATCGATTGAATTGCAATTTGTTAAAAAATTTTATACAATTGCTGAAAAATTGGAAATAATAAGAATAATGACTGCACTGCAGGCAACACAGATTTTTAATGATTGTCATCCTGACAAAAATACTTCGCATCGGTAGGTCCTGGATTTAGTGCATAAAATTTCGGAAACTGGATCGATTGCAAACGGAAAGCATCAATGTGAACGGTCGTACGTAATGAGGGTAATCAGGTAGTTGTCCTGGGTTACATCGCAATGGAGCCAAATTTGAGTCTCAGGAAACTTGAATTTCTGTACCTACTTACCGCCGAACCTTAGTAATTCATAAGTATCACCCATACAAAATTAACTTGGCACAAGAAATTAATGAAAACGATCTTGATCGCCGTTTGCAGTTCTGTGAAGAAATGAGTGATCGTGCTCGAAGGAATCCAAATTTTTTTGTACCCTATCTGTTTTTCCGGTGAATGTACGTTCCAACTGGATGGTCGAGTCAACCACCATAATTATCGCTACTGGAGTGATGAAAATCCACGCATTTTTCATGAACCTCATACGCAAAATTCGAGAAAAATTGAATGTTTGGGCGGGCATACTGGGAGACCACCTCATAGGGCGTTTCTTCCTACCAGGAAATCTAGATGGAAACATGTATCTGAATTTATTAGAAACGAATATTTATTTGTGGAAGTATTGGAAGATGACAACGCTTTGCCAGAAGAGGATGTGTGGTTTCAGCAGGATGGTGCTTCACTACATTATGCCATAGCTAAGCATGATTTTCTTAATTAGAACTTTCCAAATCACTGGATAGGACGCAGAGGTTCAATTGAGTGGCATCCAAGATCGCCAGATCTAACACCCTTAGACTTTTTTCTATGGAGACACTTAAAGTCGAAGATTATGCAACACAACCGAACGCAGTTGAGGAGCTTCGTCGATGAATTGTTGAAGAATGTCGTTAGGTAACTCCCGAAATATTCCAAATGTTCGTTCGAAAGTGGAGCAACGATTTTATTATTGTATTGAAGCGGAAGGAAACCCATTTGAATAAATAACATTCTTTCATTCATTGACATTTTGTCTTATTCTTTAAGTGATGAGTTTATTGTTATATATAAACCAAAATTTAAAAAGTCGTATATTGTGAGCAGAATTGAAAAAGCTTTTAAATGTGGTGTCACTCAACATAGGTGCCATTTAAAATTTAAGAATCTTTTACGCCCCCGCCTAAGGGGTAG